AAATGGCCATAGTGGCAGGAATGGAGTAAAAAACACAGACTTCCCTTTACCAAAGCATTCCTGGCTACCACTACTGCTGAGTGCCTAGTCTGCCAACAGGAGAGAGCAGTACAAATCCTCCAACACGGCACTGTTAAGAAGGGGAATAGCCAGCCACCTGCTGGCAGGGTGATAACACTGAACACCTTCCATCATGAAAGGGGCAGAGCCTCAACCTCATGGTAACAGATTCATCCTCACTGTAACTGCAACATATATTCTGGATATGCATTTGTATTCCCTGCCCATAATGCATCTGGCAGAACCATCATCCATGGGTTCACAGAATGCATAATCCACCATCATGGTGTTTTGCACAGCATCACTTCTGCTCAAGAAACGCATGCCCATGGAATTAACTGGTCTCATCACATATCCCATCACCCAGAAGTGGCTGGCCTAATAGAAAGATGGAATAGCTTATTGAAGACTCAGTCGTGGCAATTGAGAGACAATGTCATGCATGAATAGATGTGGTTCTGTTTTTACAGGATTCAGTATATGCTTTGAATCATTATGTTATCTCTCCCACAGCCAGACTACATGGGTCCAAAAATCAAATGATAGAAGTGGAAGAGGCTCACTATTATACTAAATAATCCATCCATGGTTTTTTTACTTCCAGTCCCAGCAACTTCAAGATCTGCTGGTTTGCAGGTCTTAGTTCCTAAGGGGAGAATGGAGAATGCTTTCATCAGGAAACACAATGGCCATGAGACAGGTACCCAGCCATTTTGGAATCCTTATGCCACTGAACTAAAGGCAAAAAAAAGAAAAAAGAAAAAAAAAAAAGGTCACTCTGCGGGCTGAAGTGATTTATTCTGATTACCAAGGGAAAGTTGGGTTGTTGCTACACAGTGGAGGTAAGGAGGGCTATGGCTGATACCCAGGGGACTCTCTGGGGTGTCTTCGATATTTCCTTGTCCAATAGTAATGGTTAATGGGAAAACAGAGCAGGCAAAAAATAAAAATAAACCATGAGGAATATTGAGAACTCAGGATCTTTAGGAATGAAGATTTGGATCACCGAGCTAGAGCCCTGGTGGTGCAGTGGTTAAGAGCTTGGCTGCCAACCAAAAGGTCGGCAGTTCGAATCCACCAGGCACTCCATGGAAACCCTCTGAGGCAGTTCTACTCTGTACTATAGGGTCACTATGAGTTGGAATCAATTCGACAGTAGCGGGTGAGTTCGTGTATAGCCAAGTAAAGAACTTTGGCTTGTCCGCACCCTTCAGCAAGTTTCCTGGCCACTTGGCAAGACATTCCTGCAGACCACCTCTGGTCTGCACCCTCTGGCAAATTTCTTTGCCACCAGCAGATTGTAAATTTCTGTGGCAGCCATACTTTCTCCAATGAGGTCTTAATCTTAGCCCTTGGGGTGTGTTGAGGGCTTTTTAAAATCCTTACTTCTCTCCTTGTTTACTCTTCCTCATTCCTGGGGAATAGCTGCTTTCTGCATTTGCTATTACCATACTCTTTAGGGAGTCTTGGGGTGGAGCAAGCAGTTAATGAGCTCTGCTGCTAACCATAAAGTTGGCGGTTTGAGTTCACCCAGAGGCGCTCAGAAGAAAGGCCTGGTGATCTGCTTCCGAAAAATCAGTCATTGAAAACCCTATGTACATTTAACATCTCAGGGATGCAACTTCTCCAGTCTTGAAATGCAATCCCTTACCCTCCCCAATACTAAAGTGCCCCCTTTTACTCTTCAACTTCATTTTTCATTAACCTTGGATATATTTTTTCTTCCCATTTTAAGTAAAAGACTTATTGTGGGTGATAGACTTGTGGAGTGTAGATAGTTTTTATTATAAATATATAAATTTTCAAAATTTAATTCAGTAACTTGGAATAATATTTTCAGTTATTCCTGCTGGTACCATAAAAGGACTATGTGCTATGTAATATTTTAAAAATCGGGGCCAATAACTTTATAGATACTTCCTCTGGGTGTCTAAAAAATAGTATTTCCTATTTATTGAATGCTTAATTTGTGCCATATACTTTGCTAAAATTTATGTATTAACACAGATATTTCTTCCCCAGGTAATCCTTCCAACAACCTCATGAGAGACATACTGACTTTCTTGTTTGGAAGATGTGGAAGCCAGGGCTCAAGGAGAGTAAGTAACTCGTCTCAGATCATAAGACTGGAAGTGGCAGATTCCTACTCTATATTTTTTGTGAGGACAGGCCAGTGACTTAAAGGTCCCTCCAGTCTTCATTTTTGTATGTCTGATTCAGAAAGATCCCTTCCATTCCTAATTTTTTGCATGACCAGTTCAGAAAGATCTGGCTCATTCAGAATCTAAGAGAAACATGAAGGTTCATTCTTCAGCTTCCCTTAAAACTCCAGATGTCTCTAATCTGAGATGACAAACTCGCTGCCTAGAATGGAAACCCACATCACAATATATTAGCTAAGTGGTTCGTGCCTACACAGTCCTTATTTATAGTCTCAGCAATTCTATTTCTGAAATATATGTTGGTAGTTATACATAAAATGCAGTTTTGAAAAGATAACAATTATGCTTTTAAAATAAACCAAGTAGAAATTTAATGTATTTATTTATTTTAGAAAACGGATCCATGAATATTTATTAATAGCATGTAATTACACTTCTCACTGAATCCTAGAATAGTCTATCCTAACAAATGCTCACTAACAAATTAGTCAGTGAAAATGTCATTAGTTATGCTAAACTTTCACTGCAGTGCACACTATTTAATTTTAAATAAAGAAAAAAAAGCTTCCCTTCCTTCCTCGTCAAAGAACATGCAACTTTGGTGTGCCTCAAGGTTCATAGACTTATTCTCTATGTATGCTCATTTCCTAGGTGATCTCACCAAGTCTCAGTGCTTTAAATATCATCTTTGTGCCACTTCCAAGTTGATACAGTCAGCCTGGACGTCTTTTCTGAATTTTGGACTCATATAACCAACTGCCTACTTACCAGCCTATATAGATGTCTAATAGGCATTACCAACACATGTCCAAAACTAAACTTGTGATGCTGCCTCCAAACCTGTCCCTCTCATAATCTTCCCCATCCTAGCTCATGGCAACTCCATTCTTCTAGTTAATCAAGTCAAACACCCTTGGAGTCTTTCCCACTCCACGTCCATTCATCAGTAAATACTATCAGTCCTACCTTCAACATCTATCTAGAATCTGACTGTGTCTTACCATCTCTAACCACCGGTACTACCACGCTCATCTTACACGAGGAATATTGTAACAGTCTCTGTCTTACTTATCTAGTGTGGCTATAACATATATACCACAAGTGAGTGGCTTGAAAGAACAGAAGTTATTTCCTCTCAGTTCTGGAGGCTAAAAGTCCAGATCAGAGTCTCCACCTGTAGATTCCTTCACTTTCTGGTCCCTCTGGAACAATTTTCTCCCTGATGTATCTGCATGGCTCCCTTCTTCAAGCCTGCAGGTCTCCGCTCAAATGTCATCTTCAAACAAGGCCCTCTCTGACTATCTAAAATGACAAACCCCTCCCCACTTGCCACACACACAACTTCCTCTTCCCTCCCTGCTCTGTTTTTCTCCTTTAGCACTTACCACTATCTAACCTACTATATCATTTATTTACTTATCTTGTTTATTGCTGATCCCTGACTAGAATGTCAACACAAAGGCTGGACTTTTGTCTGTCTTATACACTGCTATACCCCCAGTGCCTACCTATGCCATGCTCAGACCTTATATGCTAGGACTGACATCAGCACTTCAGCCTCCCCAACTCACATGGAGGCACCATCACAGTCCCCCTAGCACTGTGGGTGAAGAGAAATCAACATGGGCATCAGTGGTTCCTCTGGTCAGTCTACATATATTAATTGAGCGCCTGATACTGTCTGTCTGTCCACTGAGCCTGTCTGGATGTATTTTGTTGGGAGTTGTCCCACCACGGAATGCCATGGAATCCAGGACAAGAAGACGTTCCTACGAGCAAACAGCTAGAACAGGGTAGATGGTGCGTGTGTTTCTGGTGTTTACCACACACAGGCTCTAAAATGTGCTTTTCACAACCATCACTAAATGAGAGCCAGTGTGTGTACCTTATCCATTTCAACAAGCATACCCACTTACTGCAGTTAATTGGGCAAGCTGAGTCTCGGCAGCAGCATCTCACTGGGTCAGTCCCACTTCTGGGCTAGTACAGCTGTGATCCTTGATTCTCACCCATGAGCTGCCTTGAGTGTAAGGAGCTTGTCTCAGAAGGACCCCATGTGGCCTCGGGAGCCCCTTGCCTGAGGTGTTGTAAGTGCTGTTGTAGCTGCTAACCTAGTGCTTCTCACTTAATGATTTTTTTAAAAAGCTTTTTATTTTAAAATACATTTTCCCAGGAACATCAGCTCTAAAGTATCCGAATAAATAACACAACTGAAGCAAAAGGGACAAAAAGGGATTATGAAAGGGAGGAACTATTAAAAAGATCAAGGAATAACAATTATACTGGCAAACATTCATTAATATGCTATGTACCAGTATACAAGGCACTCTTCTAAACACGTTACACAGATTTATTTAATGTTCACAACAGCCCTATGAAGTAGGCATCATCATCATCATCATCATGTCTTCCCAATGAGAGAAATGAAGCACAGAGAAATTAAGTCACAAGTCACAAAGAAGTTAAATAACTTGTCTAACTTATGGGCCTTGTAAAACGGTTGCCAGGATTCGAATCCAGAGAGTCTGGAACCCAGTAAGTCTGGCTCCACAGCTTGTGCTCCCAGCATACAGTAATACACTTAAGAAATCAAACCAACCGTGTGTCCTAGGAAGCCCGTGGGCGTGGGCCCAGTGGGCCTGGGGGCGGGGCCAGGCTTAGGGGAACGGGAAGCCGGCGGCCAGGGTTGGCGGGCACCCGGGCGGGAACTGGGAGGCGGGAAGGGCGGGGTCTGGAGCAGCCGAGGCTGCCTTCCTGCTGCGGCTCGCGGCCGGTCACCTGGGGTTGATCTGGAATAGTTCAATAGTGGACTCGAGATTCTCGATGATCTTCCGACACTCCTCTGTCTCGGGCGCGTCGCCCCAGCTCTCCGACGCATCCCAGGAGCTACCCATTGGGCCGTGAGCCTCCCCCGGAGCCGCCGGCTGGGAGGAAAAGGAGTCCAGAACCCGGCGTCCGTTACCATGGCGACTCCTGGGGAGGGAGCGAAGCGCGGGAATCCGTCGACTGCAGGCGCAGCCGGCTTAGAGCCGAACGACAGAGCCAGCTTTGGAGCAACTCGCTCGTGCTGCCACAGCCTGGTCTGACTTATGGCTTCTGGACAAACGTGTGCTTACCTGGACCGCCACGTGCAGGCGTCTGGCCCTCAGCGCGAGGCCTAAGCTTAAGTGTCCTAGAAGGAAGCTGGACGGCTGTAAATAACCCTGATGCAGCCCACCAAGACACCAAATTCTCACTTGCTTTCTGCTCTCCTAAGGCTCTGAGCTCAGCTTCCCTTGTGGGCCCCGTGCACTTGGGGGGTGTTACGGATTGAGTTGTGTCTCCCAAAAATATGAGTTGTAAATCCTAAACCTCTGTACTGTGAATGTAATACCATTTGGGAACAGAACTTTCTTTGTTACGTTAATGAGACCATACCAGTGTAGGCTATGTTTAAAACCAGTCACCTGTGAGGTACAAAAGTTAAGCAGAGAAGGAAGCACAAAGGGAGGGAAGACACACGCTACATGAAGATCACCAAGAAACAAAGAACAGAAATTGAAAAGAGAGAGGCCCTTACCCCAGAGCCAGCAAGGAGAGAAAGCCTTCCTCTAGAGCCGGCACCTTGAATTCTGACTTCTAGCCTCTAACTGTGAGAAAATAAATTTGTTTGTTAAAGAAGCCCACTTGTGGTATTTCCGTTATAGCAGCATTAAGAAACTAAGATGGGGGCCTGTATTGCCCTGGTGGTGCAATGGGTAAGAGCTCAGCTGCTAACCAAAAGGTTGGCAGTTGGAATCTACCAGCCGCTGCTTGGAAGCCCTTGCGATGAGTCGAAATCAACTTGAAGGAAAGGGTTTTTTGTTTGTTTGTTTTGGTATACTAACACCTCACCAGGCTCACTGTTAGGCTGCTGTTCTGTGCTAAGGGTCACCCTCAGGGAAGATGAAAAATAATGAACCATTTCATGACAATATGAAGACATAATAAGCCCTGGGCTTTCAGAACCATGTCATAATAAAAGGAGAACAGAAGGCCTGATGAACTGCCTACACTTACCCCTTTACCATATATGCAGGTGGCCCTGGGGGAAAAAAAAATTCTCTGTAAAGATTAAACAAGTCTATATTCCTATTTAGGGGCCTGAGTAAAGCAAGGGTTTGCCATAGGTTGCTAACTTAAAGGTTGGTGGTTTGAACCCACTCATTGGCTCCCTGGAAGAAAGATCTGCTTCCCTAAAGATTACAGCCAAGAAAACCCTGTGGGGCAGTTCTACTCTGCAACACATGGGGTCTCCGTGAGTTGGGCGCGTGACTAGACGGCAGCTAATAACAACATTCTTAGTAATATAGAGGTCAGAAAGTAAGGCAATAATGTTTTAAGCTATACCATGGAGGGTGGAATTCATTTTTTCTAATTTTCTTCAGTAATAAGATACATTTCTTAATAGTGAAACTGCTCTTCATCTTTTCTTTTAAATTGTGTATCATTCATTGAGAATTGATAGAAGACAACTATTACTAATATTAGTATATCTTTGTCCGGTCTCAGAATTAAATGTACTATATCTCTGTTTCTACATATTGTCCACAGTAAAATAATTTGTTTTCTTCTCTCCTTTATAATAATTATGTGAAAAAGAGGCTAATTTGTATATTGGGGGCTCAAAATAGAAAAAAAAATCACTGTAGCATTGTCACTACTCTTATATTTAAAGACAAAGTTGAAGAGTCCCAAATGCCAAACTAAAACCATAACCAATACCAAAATAACCTTCTGTGAAGATTTGCTTTCTGGGGGGAGATGAAGAGACGGGTGAAAAAAGAATTCTTTTCTCTCTATAGGTTTTCAGTTTCAAAATCTAACTCTAAAATCTAATTTATATCCTTAAGAAGTTTTTATCATATAGTCAAAAAGTATTTTAAAGGAAAGAAAATTATATATTTACAATATTTTTTTCCTTAAGTGATTTTTTTTTTTACCATAATGCATCTAAAAAATTTTAAGTACAGAGTAAAATGCAGAATTAAAATTTAAAACCTAATCTGTTTACAACTGGGCTAAGATAGTGAAAGAATGTGACAAGCCTTTGGCTGTTTTGCCACTGCAATTATAAATGAATATTCTGAAACTGAGGAGGGAGATTTCACAGTGTATCTCATGAGTCATTGGTCAGCTCTCTGCAGCCTTATTGACTGATATAGACCCAATAGTTACACCATCCCCACAAAAACATGTGCTGAACAAAACATCATTGTTTGAAACCATACTATAACATATCAAGGAGTTTCAGATTTCCGTATCTAGGAGACAAAGTTATGATCATGATTGTTTTTGAAACTATTCACTACATAACACTTCTCTCCTTGTCAGTTACCTATATTTTATCTCTGAGGTGTTCTGGCTTATGAAATTGTTCATTTCAGATCATATTCTCACATATAGTAACTGGGGTTGTCATTGTCAATACATTTGTCATATTACATCAGGCCTCTCTTATCACATGATAAATTCATTGATGATAGTATAAACTTCATGAGCACTGGAGTAAAAAAAAAATACTGTCTCTGAAATGTACTCTTTTTAGAACATTGGGCAAGGTATTTAACATTGCTAAGCCTCTGTTTCCTCACCAGTAAAAACTGGATAATAAAACTTTCTCATAGGGTGGTTGGGAGCAATCTATAAAGCAAGGAAAGCACACAGCACAGGTCAGCGAACACACCGCAAAACATACACCCATTAGGCCTTCAAGGAGTGTGTGTTCCTTCCTTCACAGTCACCACTAAGGAACAGAGTTTTTAAAGTTTTTCATTTTTAAAAAGTTGATTATTTCACAAGCTAAAATGATTTTTTTACTTGTAAATTAATAGGACTTAGAACACAAGTTTTAAAAATTGAGACTACTCTGTTACACACACTTATAAATATAATGTGTACATCTATGAAAATATCACATACCAACTATTAAAACTGATCATATCTCAGATTAAATAGCATGAGGATTCAATTAAAAGTCAAGTGCTGACTCTAAACACAATAATTTATATATTCCATTTGGATGTTATCAGTTCTATAGCCTAATAAAAGCCAAGAGGTTTCAGTCTAGGTTTGTAATTTAAATTCTTTCTAGATAGTCATCGTATGTAAAGTGCTTATTTTTCTTTTATCACCAGCTGTAATCTATGATTATGTGGTGTGCGTTCTGTTATGTAAACTTGTTTTATGTCATGCTTCATCCATAACCAAAGTTCTTAAATAAGGGGTTGGGAAAGGAAATAGCAAGGCTCCTAGCCAGGACAATATTATGGTACTACAATAAAATACCACTGAATCCTTTATGAAACGCTCCTTAGACTAGATCACTTTAATGTTTTAAATTTTGCTGCAGTAAGAAAACATATCCACCCTTGTAAAAAGCCTATCAATGAGTGTCACCTGGCAAAAGCTGAAAACCAAAATTAGAATCACACTAGGAAGTTTGGCCAAGAGTGATCTTAATATAGAATTTGGAGCCCTTACTGCCAAATGTCATTGAGCACTATACTCATTGCTATCAAGTTGATTCCAACTCATAGTGACTCTATAGGGCAGAGTAAAACTGCCCCATAGGGTTGCCAAGGAACAGCCGGTAGATTAGAACTGCTGACCTTTTGGTTAGCAGCAAAATGTTAACCACTGCGCCACCAGCGCCCCTTGAGCACTGTAGGAAGGGTTTTTCTCTGTTTGGAGATAAACTAAGATTATCACCCTTTAAAAAAGAGACTAGGTGACTGTTTTGATCAGGGCCATGATATACAGAGCCTAATAGAATGGGATGAAAATGTGGACCAGAACCTCATATTCCTAAAAAATCCAGACTTAATGGATCTGTTGAGACTGGAGGACTTCTCAAGACTATTGCCATGAGATGCTCTTTAAACCTTGAACTGAAACTAGCCCCTGAGGTCAATTTTTAGTTAAATAACAGATTGGCTCATAAAGAGTATCACCCAAGAGTACTGTGTTCTTTTAAAAAATAATCTATATAAGACCAAATGGTCAACAATTAAAACAAAACAAAGATGAGAATGTAAGGGGGCAGGGAAACTAGATTAATGAAAACAGAACCAGAACAGAAATGAGAATGTTCACTCATTGTGAAGAATGTAACCAATGTCACTGTCTTAGTTATCTAGTGCTGCTATAACAGAAATACCACAAGTGAATGGCTTTAACAAACAGGAATTTATTCTGTCACAGTCTAGGAGGCTAGAAGTCCAAATTCGGGGCACCAGCTCCCAGGGAAGGCTCTCTCTCTCTGTCTATCTCTCTCTCTCGGTTCTAGGGGAAGGTCCTTGTCATCAATCTCCCCCTGGTCTAGGAGTTTCTTAGCACCGGGACCCCAGGTCCAAAGGACACGCCGTGCTCCCAGCGCTGCTTTCTTGGTGGTATGAGGTCCCCCATCTCTCTGCTCCCTTCTCTCTTTTATATCTCAAAGATAGGACCTAATCTTGCAGATTGAGTCCTGCCTCATTAACATAACTGCCTGTAATCCAGCCTATTAACATCATAGAGGTAGGATTTACAGCACATAGGAAAATCACATCAGATGACAAAATGGTGGACAATCACACAATACTGGAAATCATGGCCTAGCCAAGTTGACACACATTTTGGGGGGACACAATTCAATAACAGTCACTGAAGAATTTGTGTAAACATTGTTGAATGGGAACCTAAACTGCTGTGTAAACCTTCACTGAAAACATAATAAAATATTATTGAAAAAACAACACAAAGGAAATTAGTAAAAACGTAGATACAATGGTAGAGTTTAGCTATCTGCAGAAGTTAGCCCACCTGACAGAATTTATAAACATGTTGCTGAGGGAAATTTGGGGAACCTCCAAGTCCAGTCAGGTGGTCAGAGTGT